TCTGTCTCCTTTTTTGAAAATGGGAACTACATTTGCCGTCTTCCATCCCTCAGGTAGTTGCCCCAGTTTCCAGGATGTGTTGAAGATTTTTGGTAAGTGGTACGCAAAAACATATCTGCTCCCTCTCTAAGGACCCATGGAGAGATTTTTGTCGGTCCCATTGCCTTTGAGGTATCGATGTCCCTTAGCGTTTCTTCACCTCCTCTCATCTGTATGTATGTCGTCCAACACTTGTTGGTGTATTCCTTGTTGGTGTCCCCATTGGTCTGTCCCCCCAGATCCTTCCTGTCTCTACTGTAAATACTTCCTTAAATCTCGTTTTTGAGCTCCTCACATACCTCTTGATCGTTTCTTGTGAGTTCTCCACCTTCTTTCCTCAGCCTTATCACCTGGTCTTGACTGTTCTTCCTCCTAATGTGGCTATACAGCAGTTTCAGGTCAGATTTGACTTTCGATGCTATGTCGTTTTCATACTGTCGCTGGGCCCCCCCTCCTTATCTGCGCATACTCGTTTTGGCTCTTTACTAATCTCCTTGTTTTCCTGGGTCCTAGGGCCTCCTGTACCTTTTCCATTCTCTGTTGCACTTAGTTTTGCCTCCCTACACCTTCGGGAAAAACCAAAGGGGACTCGTTTTGGTCTTCCTATTATTTCTGTTTCCCTTGGGAACAAAACTTCCTTGCCCCCTTGCACTTTGTTGCCCCCATTTTCCATCATCTCGTTTACTGATTTTTCCTACCATTTCTCCCCTCCACTGAACCTCCTGCAGGAAGTTTCTCATACCTGTGTAGTCCCCCCTTTTATAGTTTGGCCTGTCCCTTCAGTTCCTGTTACCTTCTCCACTTGTAACTCTACTATATAGTCAAAACTCAGAACCACATGATCGCTAGCTCCAAGGGGCCTCTCGTAAGTGATGTCCTCGATGTCTGAACTGCTAGGGTGAACACAAGATCCAGTCTTGCTGGCTCATCCTCCCCTCTCTCTCTGGTTTTTGTCCCTGACATGTTGATGCATGAGGTTTTCAAGTACCACATCCAACTTTTTGGCTCTCCCTGTTTCGGGACCCCCATGTGGCTCCAGGTTTTCCCAGTCGATCTCCCTGTGGTTGAAATCGCCCATTACCCGTAACTTTGCTCTGCTCGGTGAGCTTTCTTGCCACCTCAGCCAGTGTGTCCACCATCACCCTGTTGTTTTCTTCGTACTCCTTCTTGGCCCCCTGCAGTTCTGTTTGGGGGGTTATACATCACTCCAATGACTACTTTTTTGTTCTCCGGACTGAATTGTACCTACAATGTAGTCTCTTTCCAATCATGTCCATGCCTTCCATTTTCCCCAAATCCCCATTGGTGTTTTATGAGCAGTGCAACCCCTCCCCCCTCTACTCCTTCTATCTTTCCTCAGGACTGATATCCTGTTTGGGGAAAATTGTGTCTGTTATTGTCTCAGCGAGTTTTGTTTCTGTGACTGCTATGATGTCTGGGGATTTTTCACTGATTCTTTCATTCCCCTCCTCATGTTTATTCGTTATTCCATCGCGTTTGTGTACCAAACTTTAGTTTCTTTTTTATCATTTTTGGTCATGCAAGTTAATTGGGGTTGGGGAGCGAGAGCCTTGGTGGGGGCCTATATGGGGGGTGTGGTTAGGTGGGGTAGTGTTGATGGGGGTTTGGGGGCAGAATGCCCATAAGGGACAGCTGTTGGGGTGAGGTTTGTGATATGGGGGTTGGTGGCAGAGGGAACAGTGAGTGGGTTGTAGTATAGGTTGCCTCAGTTGCGTTGGGAATGTTGCGGGTGGGGTCTTTTGGTGGGAGATTCTGTGGGGTGTGTTTGCCCTTCCTCCTGTGTCTGGGTCCTGCTCATTTTCATTGCTTCTCGTTCCTCCTTGCGTCTCTGTACCCTCTCTTTCAGTTTTAGTCCTTTCTTCTTGTGTTCTGTCGCGGTCGAGGTATACTCTCTGGTACCCCTCTTTGTCCCTCAGTCTTGCTTTTCTCTTGCAGAATCCTGATTCGAACTGATTCTTCCTTGAAAGTTACTCTGACAGGCGTATCCTTCCACTCGCAAACCACCCCAAATTTTCTGAAAATTTTCACCTGGGTCATATTGCCCTCCCTTTGTTTCATGATGCCTTCAATCATTTTTTTCTCCTCCTGTTTTATTTCTTCAAAGTTGGCCCCCTTGGCTTCTTGGA